TTCGCTGTTCGTCGATGTCTCATGCGTACGAACGATCGAACAGAGCCACGGCTCGCCGTCTTCGGAGCCGGACTTCAGATGTTTAGATGGGTGAGAGTAAACGCATCCTCTGAGCCGTCTGCAGCGTGTATTTCACTGATCCGGCAGATGCAATAGTTTTTCCTCCTTGTGCGCCCGGTTCCCTCCGTCAACTTTCTTCGTCTGTACGCGAACACTCTCTCGAGCGTGAGAAATTTACCGCTCCACAATCATGAGCAACGGAAACAACCAGAACCAGAATCAGAATGCCCCTGCAATTCCTACGGACGATTCCTGGAGAGCCCCGGCCTTTCGGCAGAATGTTCGTTTAAAGATGTGAGTCCGTCAACAATCTAGCATCTTTTTAGCGAGAGATCTTCGTAGATATTTTGAATGCCTGCGAAGCGGTTCCGGCGCCTGCATCGGCGCTTACATCTAGGTGGATCGTAAGAATCTCCTTCGGAAGCTCGTAGGAGACAATTTCGAGCCGATGACTTTTAAGTTTGTTTGGCTCGTCTTTTACTCGCACAGCATCTTCTCAGGTCGGGGGAACGTGCTCGTTGCTCAGGTACGATCAATCTACGAGTGCCTATTGAGGTTGCTCCGAGCAGCATAAGTATTTATACCTATCCATTCCGAATTCGTTTGCGGTCACTCAGAAGTCCTCGGATCCGTGTTCCGCCTCGTCACGGAGAGTTCTCGAATTATTCGATCACGGAATCAGATACGGATTGATCGGTTTCGGTCTTCTGGTCAGGAGTGACACAGACATATACAGTGGTGGCCAGAATCTTCAGAACGGCACCCTCTTCGATATTTCCAGCTTCCGTTCTCAAGATTTTGACTACCACTGCATATATGTTTAGATATTCCAAAGTCTGAGTCGCGATAAAACTAGTCAGTGAAATTACAACATAGCTCGTTTTTTTCCGACAGGGAAGAAGCTATCAGAGAAAACCCGAACCCCCCAATGAAAAGCGCCGTCGAGATGGAAGCCCATGCTTATGCCAAAGCTAGTACGAAGGTATGTAGACTTCAAACTTCACGAATCTTCTTTTGATTTTTCGTTGGCTGCCGCTCCCGATCCCGCGACCAATAGCTGCGATGTATAATCGAAGATTTTTCCAGGATCAGTACCTTAACTTCGTGGCCCGTTTGATCATCCACGTACGGGAAGCAGGTGGGTCGGAATTCTCCATCCTATTCGGATAATCTTTCGCTTCGAACACGACTCGGGGAAGCAGATTGGAGTCTCTCCCGGGAAGTGAAGACCTCGATGATAGATATGATAAGGCTCACGAGTCCTTCAGACTTCGACATGGCATCGGATCCAGATGTGAGAGCTCCCTTACGCTTGTGGAGACGCTGAGTCGAGTCGCCTCGTCTCCTCATCTAAAAAAAGGCATCGAAAAATTCGATCGGCTCTTGCTCCCCCGGGGAGATGAGTCGAGTATATTGAACTGGGACCCCGGTTGGAGGGAATATAATGACAGGTTCCAATGCGGAGTCCGTAGTGCAGAGGGAAAACTGGGAAAAGAGAGCAAATCCATCCACACGGAGAGTCGGAGCTCATGGAGACGCGGTCGACTAGTTCCGTAGAGTTGATCCATTTCTTTCATTCGGTGCTCGTCCACATACATCGCCTATTCCTGAATTTCAGCAGAATCTTCTCACCTATGAGTTACAGCCCCAGAGAGTAGTTCTGCCGCTTCGACCAAGGCATGGAGCCTGAATGGGCAATGCGCTGCGTATATATTCTCGAACTCCTCACCAAACTCGGGAATGAATCCGGCGACGTGCCGTGATGGATTCCCGAAGTCTGAATGGGGTCCGTTCCAATGCCGAAGAATGGACCGGTAGCCGAGCGCTGGATTATAAAAAGTTTCTCGGTCTCGGAGAATTCGAGCATCGCGGTCCCTGGTAACTGTATGATTCTTGTCGGTTCCCCGACGGGGCATGGGGGCTTGGGGAAGCGGAAAATAACTCTGCCAGGAAAAACTCGGAAGTGCTCGATTGAGGCCCGGATCGTCCGAGCGAAGGGATTCGGTACCCTCTCGTTTCCGAGAGACTCAGGGGTGAGAACATCGGGAGGAAGATGTCCGAGCACCATGGAGCTCACGATACGATTATGTACCAGATGCTCATAGGTCATTGATGGACATCTCTCGAGAACCCCTGATCGATCTAGGCTGAATCGCATCCGCCATGATTCATATACTTTGTGAAACAACTTAGCTTGAAATTCGGCACCTTTGAAAGTTCCTCCATGATCGGGTCCGAAGTTTCTCGCATCATGATGAATACAGCGGATCAAGGCAGTTTTGCTCAATCCGGATTCGGATTCTTGGGTTATACGCCATGAGCCGATACGCTGTTCGGGAGAGCGTCTCGTTTCAGAGTGGATGTCTACGCACAATATCAGCAGCGTATTTTAGACTGCGATGAATTATGACGCACCCCCACATCGGCTTCATCTGTCTGATTTATCATGACCCGGAAATCCTCCCCGGGAACACCCCTATTCAAGAAATCGCGATCGCGACTCCCCCGAAGAGTGCCCAATCGTCGGATTCTCGGCGGACTTCGGTACGAGGCAGAAAGGAAGCTGAGCGTGTTTCCAGCCTCGCTCTTCAGGAACGGAGATACGCATCTCCGATTCCATGCCTATGACATCCATACGAATGATGGACCGGAATCGTCAATCCGGTTGCGATTTGACACTGTACTATCGGAGACTGGCAAACTTCGAAACCGGACGACGATCCGCAACGAGGTCCATAGAGTCCTGCAGAGCTTCCGATTTCCCGGAAGAGGCCCAAGAACCCTTCACCATTCAGGACGAGGAGCCTTGGGTTGATTCCAGTCGTCTTGCATCAGTCGAGCCTAAAGCGCCAAACCCCTCCCTGGGGGAACCTCGAAGCGCTGTTCACGGGAATATTGGCTCCGATAACGGCCAGGGCCAGAGCGATAGTGGTCTTTTTGAGCGAGTTTCTTCGCGTACTGACAGATTATGCCCCTTCGTCATAAAGTTCATTTGAACCCGATCGAGACGTGAATTTTCGATTCGATATTCATACTCGATCAGTCCTCTCTGACCGTACCATGCGTCGCAAAAACCGTTCTATTGTCCAGAACTGCCGATTCCCTACAGGAAGGGAAGCCTTCGATGTGATGAATGATTTGATAATTCATTCGTAGCTTCGAAGTTGTCCCTTCTTGTCCCGCTAGTTTCATCCGTGAGAAACTTCCGTGAGCGAGTGACCCTCTCAAACAGAGACGATAGCTCGCATACGGGAACGGCGCTCCGCCCGCAGCAGAGGTTGAACTTCGGATCGACACTCACGGAGCGATGAGCTTTCATGCGAGCGGCGGCTGAGTGAGTGAAAAGGTGTATCTGCGAGCCGCTTTCACTGGCGTTCGCTTCTCCTCTCTCGAAGCGGAGGGTTACGCGGCGGCTGGTGTTGTTGTGTCTGACTCGCTGGCGCTATAGTCCGCTGTCGAGCATTCGTATGGGCAACCGGTTTGTAGAACATCGTCTTCGGTCTTCATCTGCAAACAGAGACCTCCTCGCCACAGAGCCGAAGCCAAAACCGAGGACTCTGTTGCTTCATTTTCTGCTCCTGCCGCCACATGCTTGTGGAATTCCGTCGGAGTTCGAAATTCGTGCTCCCGAGAACATGTGACTGTGCGTTCTCAAAAGCTCAACAAGTGTCCCTCTCCAGGATTGAGTAGTTCACTCATTTCTCACTCCCACCGTCGAAAGCTCGGCGAAGTTCATTAACACGTCTAGAGCCGTCTGACGATGCCGAAGTGTTAGCTGCTGATGTTTGGCTCAAGAAAAGCCCACGATGTCTCATATCAGGCGAAGAACGCTTTGAAGTATTGAGTTCAATCGTCGGATCTTCGAGAATCGGTGCTACGAGCGGTCGCTATGAACTGGAATCCCTCAGAAGGAGGACCGGGCCCAGGGCCCATCGGAGCCGGGCCGGGAGGAGGGGCACCTGGAGGAGGGGCCGGATCCGTTCCCGGGGTCTCAATCCCCCTGTCCATGGGCGTCGTGGGAGTTCTTAACGGTGTGCAGGTGACCGGCGGGAACCACCCGATGGGCACCTTCAACCAACAACCACGAGGAGCTCAAAGAGCATACAGACCACCTGTACAGATCCAGCTGCAGCAGCAACAGCAGCAACAACAACAACAGCGACAACAACAAGCAGGGGCTCATCATGGTCCGCATGGACCCGACGTACGAGCGAATGGGGCTGGTGCTTTCGATTCGCTTTCGAACTCGTGTACGTATATGGAGCTATTTCCCGCAATATGGAAATGGTCGTATTCAGAAAGCGATTGGGAGATGTCGCGATCGACCCGGTAGAATCCAAAATCCGGATATGCTCGCTATGTACCGGACGGCGCGGCGAGAAGCGTTCAATTGATCTTATCCGGCTTTGTCGGAGCCGGATGATGTCTCGATTCGAGTAAGGTCTCTGAGGAATCCATGAGTTCGTGATAAGCCTGATGGTCGGCGGACAAGCTCTCCGTCCGTATCGCAAGGTCCATCATGGAATGGTGGAAAATACCGAGCTCGACTCGAAGAATCGATTACGGACATACGTGTGTTTAGAACAGGAATGAGAGAAACACTTCGACTCTCATTACCCTCCTCTCAACTCGACCAGGCTGTCGGGCCGTGTCATGAGGAATCTCAAACCTCGATTCAGGAGGCCCTGAAATGTGTATGATTCTGAATTCTAGGAGAATATTCGAGCGTACCTTCCCAGTTCGTGTGAACAGAACGACTATTTATCTCCAGATTCTCGGAAGAGCGCGCCAAATCAGGTCGGCGGCCAGACCGGCCCGGATCCTATGATGGCTTTGCGCACTATGACTAGTCAGCAACAAGGACTCATGGGTGATATGATGGGTCCGAATTCCGGTCAGAATCCGATTCCGCCCGGTGGAGGATTGAATCCATTGGCCATGCAACAACCGAGACAACGTAAGTGAAGAAGACGGAAAGGAACGAGTAGCATGCATGAACAGAGTGAGGATCGAGCCTGCGGTGAGATGGACAGAAAGATCAGGTGATCCCGTGAATCATTCTCTATGAGCTATTCTTCGAGCCCTCTTAGTCGAACCGCAAGTCGAGCGACGGAATTTGCCCGAGCTCTGAGCCAGGCTTGCCGATCCACGCATCGAGATTGAACACAGCCAGTGCGACGGGTGTATAAATCGCTAGTCGCCGGTTCCGTTGTGATTCACAGCCAGGAAAAGGCGTCGAGCGAGCCCTTCGCTAGAGAGTACTTTACGACGCTTTTTCCTCCTACCCGCATGCCTTGTGACCAGCTGCTCTTCTTTGCCGCGCAAAACGGGGAGCCCATCTCCCGCTCGACGGATGAGGAGCGTTCCCGGAATACCCCCTGATTCAGGTTCCGGATAAAAATGATCGTCGACTTCCATTCGGGAACAGACTCAATTCGATTTTTCTCATCGCTCGCGTCGATTACTTATGACTCATGTTTTGAGCTGGAAATTCGGCGCGGCTGCGAGAAATCCGAGTCAAAATCACGTCATGCTGACGCGAATATCCCTAGTCAGGCTATGGAATGCCGTAAATATTCGGTGGCGGAGTCAAGACTCGAATGGAGGTCAAGGCTCACAGCGGGGCGCGAAACTACATCGAATTCCCCCCATCATATACATCACTGAATCCCTGAATTTCTCCACAGACATGATGATGAATCAAGGCCAAGGCAATCCCATGATGGTCCAACAAATGGGTCAGCGTCCTCCGCTCTCCGGCCCGGGTGGCGTTGGTCCTCCCCAGCAGGGTATGATGGTGATGGGCCCACAGCAGGGAAAGATGAGGCCTCAGATGCCTTCACAGCAGCCCCCGAATGCAATCGTGAGCATTTTTCCGGAACATATCCCTTCTCGTACCTATTGAGAATGTCTTGCCCATGAAGCAAAGTCATTTGATTCGTCATATGAATTTGTACTGATCCTTTCCAGCCGAATCAAGGAGCGGTTCCGTCTCCCATGGGCTCCTCAATGGCGAAGTAAGTTCTTCGTGTTCCGCGCATGTCCTCGAGAGCCGCTGAGAGAAGCTCTGAGCGGAGGAGTTCAATGGATGAGCGGTCATATGATTGTTTTCCGAATATCTGAAAAAGACAACCGTCTTCCCGAGCGTCGCTCTAATCAGGATTTCCTTTTGCAGTCAAATGACACCGTCGCCTGCAGCTTACGCTCATTCCCCCTCAGGCGGTGTTGTGCCATCACCGGTAGGCGTGGCTGCAAGTGGAGGCTACTTGAGACAGGGGCAAGTTGGCGCACCTTCGCCAGGTTCTGCTCTCAATACCCCTATTAACTCAGTAGCATCACCAGCAAGCGGCCCCCTTGTAGGTAGTCACGGTCACCAAAGTGCCGGCGGTACCCCGGTGTCACGCAACGCCGAGGATCAGGCATATTTAGAAAAATTGAAGTATTTAAATAAGTATATCGATCCCCTGAGAAGAATGATCGCGAGAATCGACAAAGACGAAGACCGCAAGAAAGAACTCAGTAAATTAAAATCACTCCTCGATATTCTATCGGACCCGAACCGGCGGTGTTCCATGGACACCCTCGTTAAATGCGAGCAGGTCCTCGAGCGACTCGACCTTCGGGTTCGAAACCCTGACCAAACTATGATAGGTCATGTTCCGTCGGTCACATCGATGACACGACTGCAGAACGACAACCTGTGGCAGCCGCTACTCGATGCAATAAACGCCAACATCAAGAGCCCGATGTTCAATCACACGCTGCAGAGAGTATTCGGCCAGCCGATCACCATGCTGCTCGGGGCTGCGTATTCGCAAAACTCGACGCCTCCCTCGTCTCCGCCGACGAAGAGACGGTGCGTGTCTTCCGCCGTGGAAGAAATGTACGAAGTGTCCGACGTTCTCCAAAACGAGATCGCACATTTGGATCAACGCTTCAAAGTTCAACTCGACCCGGTTCAGCAGTTTGGCAACAAAACAATCAAACTCATCTGCCAGCTCGACGACAAAGCCCTGCCCAGCGTCCCTCCGATAACTGTGACGGTTCCAGAAAACTATCCGGAGAGCCCACCTCTGTATTCGGCCAACAAAGTCCAATATGCGAGTACGAATTTCTACGATAGCGTGCTAAACGCTCTGAAAGTCCATATGGACAAAATGCCTTCTCAATTCTCCGTGACGGCACTCCTCGACACGTGGGAGATGTGCGTGCGGCAGACCTGCAGCAGTATATTGCCTAGCTTGAAGTCACCAGCGAAAGCTTGAGCAGGAAATGAGCGATCTTATATCGATTCCGTGACTTTATCGATCTCTTCGAGCCTCGGTAAATGCAAGCCCAAAGTTTGTACATATGGTTTCCTTCAAAACGTGCGCTCGTTGACGCGCCGGGTCAGCGTTTTTCGAACTAAAGCTCCTAGCTCAGGTTCTGCGGAAGATTCTTGCTTATTTCCCCATGGCTCCCGAGAGATTCGGTGAATGCCTTGCGTCATGACTCCGAACATTCGAAAGTGAGATCTCGCCGGCCGTCTGCCGCCATACTGACCGTGTGAAAATAAAGGGACGCAATTATCGTGAAGACCGTAGGCATATGATGCATTCAATGTACAGCTATCGATTCGAATCGAGCGGCAAGTCCACCTTATTTATACTTCTCGGTTGTATGTGTATCTTGAAATAGTCGATAGTCCGATGGGGTGCGGTCGAGGGAGTTTCCGTCCCACCGAAGGTCCCAATCGCAGCTTATACGGACAAAGGAAACTCGGAAGGAAAAAATATTTGAGTTCCCAAAATCCGTTTACAATCGAAGCTCGCCTCTTGGGATGACCGGCAGGTGGAATGCATCTTTGGAGGCCTCTGGAATCGACGCAGCGGGAGAAATCGCGCAGCCTGGTGAACACGAGTACCAGGCATCTGAATCCTCAGTTCCATGTGACTCAGAATGCGATTAGGACATAGCTCGCCCAGCCGACGTGTAAATATCTTGTTCTGTGAATAAATTCTGAGAGGGTGAGTTTTCGGTTTGTACTCAGCAAATTCTCCGGATCGGCCAGAGATTTCGATCTTGGAGCAAATGATCTTCGACCCGAGACCTCGAACGGCGAAGACCCCCGAACAACTTCTCTTCCTCCCTCGAGGCTGCTTGGGAAGCCGAGCGCTGGGTCCTCGGAGTAGATGTTGGACACCCGCGACCCTTCGAACGGGTCGTCGAGTGATATCGATCGATGTCCCCACAGGGAGCCATTGAATGAGCTCATTCTTGGATCATGAATGATCGCACATTATCACCGAATAGTCAAATCGTCGTATTTGATTCATCGAAGGAATTTTCCGGTGGCTCGAACACTGCCGAAACAACAGATATGAAATGTATGATGATTCAGAGAACCTGAACGTGGCGTGAGGTTCAATGACCGCCGCTGGCGAGACATCACCCTGAGATGATATCCGAATCTTCACAAGATCAGAGCGGAACTCTATCGAAGAGACCACGCGCAGAGCATCGATCCTAGTAGCTGGCGGCGCTATAGAGCATAAATCCGCTTGAGCAGTTTTTGGAAGATGGGTGAAAGAAGGGAGTCGGTTGCAGGGACGGATAAAAACGAGTGTATTTATATTATAATCGTCTGTTGTATCATATATGGAGTTATCGAGTTGTTGATGCCGTCACGGACAATGGACTTAGAGACAAGGGAGACATAAGATAAGAATGTCGGATGCGGGTATGAATACAAATTCTGGGTACAAGATGCGCCACAATGATTGCCTCGATTATTATTCAAAGTAAAGTTATTCTTTGACTGACAAAAGTGAATATATATAATTTTTGCAAGAATTCGATCGAGGAGCCTCGATGCTCATCCCGAAGCAATTTGGACAACAAGCCGACACAATCGCAGCAGCAGCATGTATTTGAGATTCCTATGCGAAAAGGTTCCTCGCCAAATTCGTTTTTCGCTTCCTTTCACAAAACTCGACTCCCTCCCTAGAGATCTTGAAAAACCGTTTCGTATTTCTCAGCTGCCTGCTATTTTCCCCCCGATTGAACAGTCACTCGGCGCAATCGGGTCATCATCATGATCATAAATACGTATCCATTCATGTTCGAGGGAAATCACTCAAGGAAATAATGTAATGTGAATTGAGGGTAGAACACACTCGAAATGAACGTGGGCATGAGTTGATAATCTCGAGGCGAATTTGGAGGGCTCCCGTCGGCGCCGCTGAATTCAAAACATCGTCGACATCAAAGAGGGGTCTGGAGTAGAAATTGCATCGCGAAGAGCGCGAAAACGTTATTGCACCTTGATGAGAGTCGCCACATTCAGAGCACGAATTGATCGAAAACAGAACTAGAGTCGATCGAGTCTCTCTGGCTTCCCGATGAAGCAGAAACACGCGCGGAGACAATGACTGAACGAGATGAAACGGAGATTTGGGAACGACGTCTTTGAAAATCTCGAGCGAAATCGCCCGAACCCCTGACACCCGTGGCACATTATGAGGCTGTGTGGGGCTATACATCTGTGATTCGACCTCTTACAGACCCTCTTCGTCTGAGTGTTGATTACACCAGCTCATTTAATCCACAAAATTTCTGGGAAAACACTGATCTGCCTGAATATAATGTATATATAAAATGTTATATATGTATGTATGTATGTATCACGGATGAGTGCTCCTCCTCCGGCTTATTTATACAGAGTATGTTACAGCGGATCGCCGACGCTCTACTGCATACGACCTCGGAGCAAGGATCCGGCACTCTACCGGACGATGAACATAGCTTGACCTCTGACTATGGTGATCACCAACTCTGAGCGAGTGGTCGACGGGAGTCACGAGGGACCGATATTTTTTTTGCATTTTCGAAAGTAATGGCGGTGTCGTGCGCCGCAGGACACCGAACTAGAACGTGAAGTTAATGTAACACAATCAACGAAGGCTTTCATAGCATCAACAGGATATGGGATATATGCGGTATCGTCAGTTCTCTCTCTCTTCGCATGCCGCTAGTCGAACGCTCTGCTCGGAGCGGTCTCGTTCACGATATGTACACTTGGAGCTTCAATATGCTTGACAAAATATTCCTAGCCCCGCAGGTTGAACGCTCCCATGTTGGAGCCAGACCAATGGGCAGTGAAAGATTCGTTGGAGATCACCTGGTCGACAGGTTGCAGTTGTGGATGGATTGCGATACCTTGCAACGGACCTCTCCCGTTCTGTGGCCCTGTTGGCTGCTGACTATTCACCGGGACGTGCTCGTTGCTCTGAGCGAGAGTCATGGGAGGCCCATTCTGTGAGAGGGAAAATACTCGTTTTTCAATGACTGTTTTTTGGAAATCTCATTTCTTCATCGAACACTTTCGAGTCTAGAGGAATCGCGTTGCGGATCGCAGGTTCTCCTCTGCTCGCTCGACGATCGAAATACTGAGAGAAATCAATAACGTACATGGTGGGTTTGAACTTGATACTGCTGAGGTTGCTGCTGTAATAACTGCTCTCTAGCTGTATAGATTGGAGAATAATTGCTCCCAGTGGGGAAATTCGAAGCGGCTTGAGCTGAAACTGTCGAGTTCGAGTTGTCTATGTGTAGTGTGGGTTTTCGATCTGGAAAATAATCAACAATTAGGACAATCGATTCCCTTCTCGTATATCAGCATGGCGGCGCAGCGCCGATCGGGGCTATCCAGCGAAATACTCACTGCAGGGGTTCAGGTTACTCATGAAACCTGATTGAAGTTGCTCTTGGGATTGTGCGTGATTCAGTCTGCCGCTTCCGTAGTAACTAGAAAATAATGAAAGAAGAATAAGTCCTTCATGATTGATATCAGCCACACATGAGGATCTCGGCAGTACTTGGGCCTCTCAGCAATAACCGCAAGGATCGCTCGAATGGATATTCACTTTTGATTTGGCTGTCCTGCCGCGACGGTACGTTCGTTGGGCAGGGGAGTCACTTTGCGAGCCAGAAGATTCCTCAGCTGAGGCGCAGACACCGCCGATCCGGATGACATCTGAGGAGGACAGGGCTGCTGCTGCTGCTGCTGCTGCCTGTCCTGATTCAAGAAGGGCCGTTTCGAAGGCGGGCCGAAAGCGTCGTTGCTCATCGAACGGTTGACCAGAGTCGTCGGTCTCATGTGTGACCCGTTCAGCGGCCGCTGATTCAGACAACTTTTCAAGGACACGTTCGGAGCCATCGGGGTTTCCCACATGTTCATTCCTTGAACTTGGAAGTGACTCGGCTGACTACCGTTCATCTGGTTGTACGCCAGGGTTGGAGGATTCTGGAAATTCCTCTGGATGGCTACCGGCGGCAGATTGAAACCAGTAGATTCCGTGAACATCGTTCTATTCGCTGGCTGCTGGGGGAGCATGGGCTTCACGAGTGGAGCCGACTGCTGGGGTGCCTCGGCATACATTTGTGAAGGCTGTTCCTGAACAGTTCCCGAAAAATTTGGAACGTTCCGATCTTCGCTCTGAAGCTTGGCTAGAATCTTCTTGATTTCCTCATCAGCTTCGTCTTTGAGCGATTTGGCAGTTTGGAAACTCGGTTCGGCTTCTGCTTTCGTCGGGGGAGTCGACTGACTGTACGGAGGGTAAGGCGAAACCCCCGTCTGGGGTCGATTGCAGAAATTCGTGACATTACTTTGATTCATGGGACTGAATTGCGGCATCTGGCGGACGGGCTGACTGGCGTCGCAAGGCGTTGGCGTACTGGACGGTGCCGTGTCATTCACCGTGCTGCCGTGACTGATAGGGTGGTTGTTGCTGTCCTGCTGCACGGGGACCCGCATTCGACCGCGCAAGAGATTCATCGATTGGAACAGTTGTTCTACACTCCGCGAAAGCCTGCGAATGCGAAATTCAATCAGTCTGACTTCCGTCATACGCTTGCATCATCCGATTGGGAACTATTGCTCCTGAAATCATTGGCAGAGGTCGGGACACTCACCGATCCACGACACTGCGTTCACCCGGGAACAGGAGTTTACTCTCCAATGCTCTGAGACGCTCGAAGATTTTAGCCAGAACAGCTTTTTTCTGATACACGCTCAGTACCGTAACCCACTTCGCTTGTGATGTTGAAGCATGAAGAGCATCGAACGCAGCTTCCATGAGCGGTCCGTATACTCTGATAGAGTTCCTGTAAGTTCCGGAGAATGAAATCAAACATCGATGAGTGGAAATTCTTCCAATGGCGAAGAAGGCAAAAAACTCCGAGCGAGTTTTCGTTTTTCAACAAGCGATCCGAAATCCTCCGCGACCTACCTTGCTTCGTCCACGAAGGAAAGCGACTTGGCGGAAGACGGGCGAACAGTATTCGAAGGCGCGACTTCCGCCGGCGGAATTTCAGGTAGAGACACCACGGGAGGCGGACGTGAGATTCCGACTCGCGGCGCCGAAGTGCCACTGGTTTCGATCGGGCCCATCATTTCGGCAGGTAGCGCCACATTAACCGGTAAGCCTTGCCCGGACAGAAGTTCGACTTCTATTGTTTGATCCAGATCCTCAGGCAAGAAATCATCTTTCTCGTTCTCGAGCTCTTCCTGTCGATTTCAATTCTACTTTCGGAAACTCGCTCACTAACCACGACCATTATTAGGCAAATAATGAGATCACAAATCCTGATTTTCCTTCTTTCTTCCGATCCTAACCTTCAAAGACGACCAGTCGCTCTCGGTAAGCACGCGATGAGATCTCAACTTTGATCGATCAATTCTCACGAATGGCTCCCCAACGACTTCGAGCTGAATCGTCTCATTCGCTGGAGCCTTCTCCTCCGCTTGCACCTGGGGCTCAACATCGGCAACCGATGTTGACACTGCTGGCACGGAGCTCGGGGCATCGGGACTCCTTGCCGCACTCGAGGAAGCTTGCGGTGTTGTTGGCGCTTGTGGGGACACGGCATTTGGGACGGACTGAGCTGCCGGGGGAATCTTCTTCCGAGGAGCTGCGAAGCCGCCCCGGGGAGAGCCGTATTCTCGTTGAAGTTTGCAACGTATGCAAAGACTACTGCCTGAACCGGATTTCGGCCTCGTTTTGCATCGTGAGCACTTGTGTCCTGCGGCGGGTCCCTGGGACGCAGGTTTCTTCTGGTTCGGACCGGATTGAGGAGGTGTTGGAGGAGTCAACAATGCTATTGTGGCTGGGACCGGGGCCCTTCGAGGAAGCCCTCCCATCGCGGCGAATGCGCGATGCATGCGCGCCTCCTGGAAAACTGTACCTTGAGTATTGGAGCTTCTTCCTACCGACGCCGACGTGTATCGTATTTCTCGACTCCGCTCAATGTTACTCGAGATGGGGAATAGTGCATTCCACATCGAACGTGAAAGCATAGGATACGGAGCATATTCATGTACGCATGTGGGTCTCGATATCCATTTCGACATTCTGAACCGCATGGCGGAACAAGAAAATCCAAGAATTTTTTTGACGCGACGCAGCGGATACGATTGGGAGCGTGGCGATGGTTTTGGAATATTCGGGGATCGGAGCGTTTGTGAACCTCTATCGCAGGAATCTCAAGGGAAGAACGATACGGCGCAGGCTAAGAATCTCTACATTAGCGGAGCTGTCCCACCTGTTCCGAAGGCGAGCTCACCGAGTTATGATGTGCTTCATTCATTGACGCGATTCAATTGCATCATCGATATTATTCCCGATGAATAAGATAATTCAGGAAGGACACGAGCAACTGTTTGTCTCGGATCATCTCAAAGTTACAGGGGGGAATCGAGCAAAGGCTGCGCAGCATGAGCGAGGCTCGCTTAATGAAGGCCCGTCCAATCGATGAGACCTCGTTCGAGGACTCTACCAGAAAGAGCAGTGCTCTTTCCCGCCCCCTCCTTGGCCCCTATTTCCGATTCTGTGTCTCCGACATTGGAGAATCTCATGAGAGAACACGACACGAATACCATAAAACGCAGCGAGGGATCCAAATGCATGTGTGTATGAATCTCACTGCGAGATCTTCATTAGCAAAATATAGTTCCCGTTCGACGTGATATGGAGGGTGTGATAACACCGCGATTCCCATGGGTCGTCAAAGAACACCTATAGGAGTCTCGTGAGCTGTAACTGATCAATAGACATCAGATAGGCAGCAGCAGTGAGTCGACACCGAGCCGCGAGGCGAGAACGGGACTCTTCATTATTGACATTACTGCGCCACAGTCCCTTCTAACGGTTCATGCCACAACAGCAACATAACTGCCCAAAACTGCGTCGGCGTACGAAATCAATGCGATCTCGATACTTCACATCGCGACACTCGATTCAAGTCCTTCATCACTGATCTTGAGACCAACGTTTGAATATTTTGTTTTCCGCGGAAGTGCCCATCGAAGCTCATCTGCTCATCAACTTGTTCCGTTGTTTGTGCTTTCGATGGCCGAGTTTCGGAGCCATCATTCTCGAAGCCATCTGTCTGTCGACGGAATGTTCCCGCTTCTTCCCGGACGCCCTCGGTGCAGCTAAGGCTCGCTGTCTCCAATATTTCACTCACCTTCTACAGGTTGATTCACATTTGAATGCACCAAAGAGCTCCCCTCCGACTTCCTGAGTTCTCCCGTCGTCAGCTGCGAGTCGTATCTCGGACTCCGTACTTTGAATGGGTGCTCCCGTGAACTAAAGGATCGGGATGCCCACCGCGGAGTCCATGAAACGACTTTTCGGTAGCAGGAGCATCATCATTCGAGTACGACTACGACGACTGCGACGACGACAACGACGACGACAACAACAACAACAACAGCAACTGAAACTGTTGCGATCACCAAAATCCCGCGATTACACTGATTGGGCGTCAAGCTCCTAAATTCTATAATACATCTGTCGAGTCACTCGCACTTGAGAGATGCGTCGATCACATGCTCATCAATTCCAATCGATGAACGTCCTGGATTGAGTGCCACCTTCCGGTTGAGGAGAACAAGCAGCCGTGCAGGTTCTCTGAGGGTTGGTCGAGGGTGGACCTTGATAGGTACGGAATCCGCTCGAGCGGTCGACGTGCGACTCTTTCAACGCGAGAACGGTATAGAGACACTCTGTTCAATGATAACGGCGGTTCAAGTCTGATCAAAATGGAATCTGTCTGTATACACAGTTGAAGACAATGATGCTGATGATCTCTGATTGCGACATAATCGAAGCAGGCGGCCCCTGGTGCGACACTCCGAATTCTCAGCCCCAAAGCCGATGGGGAAATGGCTTCCACCATGCGGAGCCCTGCGGTCCCTCTCAATCAGAGAGTGAAAGGCCCACGGCCCTAATCAACGAAAGGGAGAAAACCTACTCCCGAGAAAGATTGAGGCTGAGCGAACTTATGCATAGTGTACTCATGCCTCATACCCCATTTTCCAATGTCTGTTTGCTTTCGGGGCCCAATGCCTCTGATGAAACAATGGAGGATGACTGCTTCCGCTTCCGAGAAGGCGAGTGAGTCGTTCGGAGGCACAGACCCAACATTCCTCCCAATTCAGCCGCCTCGCATCCTATGGTTCGAGAAATTGATTCTTTGTCCCTCGTGCACGAGCGTGGCATTGGGAGTCGTCTGACGGGAGCGGTCGTGGTGACCGGTGGCCCGCGTACCTCTGGTCGCGAAGCAGACCCGGATGCTTGCGTTGGACCGCTCGCCTCGAATTCCGACTCGACGTCTTAGGGGTCCTCCGGAGCCTCTGGTACAGCTCGGCGCCCTACCTGATTCCGGTGGCGAATGATGGTTTTGCCTTGTACGATCAAACGCAGCCCGGCCGAGGAATCCCGCAATCCTCGCCGAACACCGACCTCCATTCGCAAGTTTCACGGAGACGGTCTCTCCCTCCACGGAATGGCGGGCTCGAAAACAGCGAATGGAGTCCGGAGTTATCGTCCGAAGAAGACCTCGTTTAGTGACCTGTTCTCAAGAGACGGAACTGGTGCGAAGTTGTAAGCCGCGACGATGGAATCTAACGAGCCCGTCGAAGCGTCGATGGCATCCTTGACGGTCCTGACCTGACCAGCTTCTCGGCTTGGCCATTGCTCTGTGGCATTCCTGGTGCACAGCGCAAAGGTGTGAACGCGTTTTCGGTACTGAAATTCGCGAATTCCTCAGACGTAAACTGAGGACCATCGTCGCTGACCAACGTATCCGGCACTCCAAAAGTGCGGAACAAACGCCGGAGGTAGTCAATCAATGCGGCCGAAGTCGTCGATGACATCCACTCAGCATCTATCAGTTTTGAAAAACTGTCGACGACCACCACGGAAGATTTGCCCTTCCGAGGCTCGCCAAAGTCCATGTGAACCCTAGGCCAGGGTTTTCCGGAGCTGGGCCACGGACTGAGAGAAACTCTCACTGGACTCTCGCGCCCTCACGCTTCTGGATTCCAGAGCAGAATGCACTATTTCGCAGAAATTAGCTTCAGCCGCGAAGTCGATTCCAGCTACAACCTCTTCTAGATCCGGGTCCTGCGCGTCAGCTCTCACCTCTTCGATTGAACGAGACAGGGCGTCCGCATGCCCAAGTGAATCGGTACGGATATACTCCACGTCGAAATCGAACCCCACGAGTCGTAGAGCCCAACGTTGCAGCCGTGCAGCGGTGCGTGGAGGGAGACCCTTCATGTTTGGTGGTCGGAACAGAGCCACCAACGATTGGTGATCGGTTTGCAGAATGAACCAGAGCGAGAGCCTCTTTCTCGATCTGTCCGTAATTTTGTTGAGCTCTCGTCAGAGACTTCGCCATGTGGAAAACTGCCTCCACGTTCCCCTCAGGGTAACGCTGGAGCAAGACGCACCCGATTCCGGCCGGTCTAGCGTCCGCCGCCACGATCAAGGTCTGCCGGGGATCGTAATGGGCAAGAGGAAGAGGTCCGCTCAAAATCCCCCCTCCATATAAACGGCTAATGTCACGCGTGTGTCACACCTGTTACATGGCCACCGCCTTCCACAAGAGCTCGACTGCCTCTGACAGCACGGCTGCCGATTAACACTTTCCCCATGAACTGAGGAGAATGCTCAGACTTTCTCGCAAAGCATGCTCCGTCGAGTTTTTCCATGTCAAAGCTCAAAAGTATTGGCGCGGAAATCCCAGCATTATCAATTATTCCATCTCCCTAGAAAACGATGCACCATTAATCTTTCCCCCTTTGCATCACTATCTTTCCCCCGTCGCATTCCTCACCATGGAAAACTCTTCTCACGAGCCTGTCGCCAAAAGAACGCGTTCTTCCACGGCTCCCGGAACGCCGACAGCAAGTAGGACTCGCTTAAGACGGACACGAACAGCCCCACCGGCACACTCCGAACACGATCTCTCGGAAGATTCAGACCAAGGGCGCCTCCGAGCAGCACAGCGGCAGAGGCTGAGTAGGGAATTGCGCCGAAAGCGCGAAACTTCCGCAGAACGACAGCGCGGGTTAGCGGCGCATGCAGCCGCACAACGCGCGGCACGATCGCGTCGGAAGTTTCGCGCTTGCGGCGCAACCCCGCACGAACATATAGTTCAGCCGGATGACTCCGTTGAGCGCTTAGCTCACAGACGCAGCTTGGACGTCCAGCGACAGAGGAGAAGCAGGGAAAATCAACGAATTGCTCAAGCTACCTCTAAAGTGCGCAATATTGTGTACAAGGAGCTTTTCGCCAATGAGTGACTGGGGTATGGGGACAAAGTACTCACGACAATAAACCACAATCACCTACAAGTTCGTATCATTTTTGTTACCCACGTAGAGGGAATGCTGGGAATGAAGAGGGAGTTGGAAAAATTGCGCAAGTAAATGGCAGCGAGCTCGGAAGAACAGATGGATTCGCAGAAGTACGAGAGAAGGGAGAAACTGGTGGATACCACGACGGCGTTGGCCCGTTCCGCTGGAGGTACTGTGGTCGAGGCCTCAGAATGGCTGGAAGAGTTCACATTAGCTCGAGACGTAGGGAAAGGGTCTGAGGATTACACGAAAAGCGTACTGTTCACTAAGATGGCTGGCCCGATGAAAGCAAAGAGTTTCATAGAGCGGCGCGCAGCGTTTGAGGGATCTTACATTCCGTCACAGCAGAAAGGAGATTTGATGGAAGAGCTACTCGCGTGTGTTCAGAGGAAGGGCGAAAATTTAGAGAATTACGCCCGGCGGAAAGAAAATATGGCACTGAAACTCGATCTCGAACCGGTAGGGATCAAGGAACAGATCCCGAAGGGGATGCT